AATTGCGGAGATGAATATATTGGCGAAACAGGCAGACCTTTGTGTATCCGTATAAAAGAACGTTTTTTTTTTTTTTTTTTTCTAAGACCAAGCACCCCACTAGGCACGCATAGGATACAAAAGCATAGCGGAGACGATTTTGAAGTAAAAGTCAATATCCTTGCACAGGAGTCCAAAACACCAGCGCGAAAACTCCTTGAGGGTTTTTGGATCAATGCCAAAAACCCTACAATGAATAGCAGGGACGAATGCCCGGAGGTCATACGCGACCTTATCCCGTACGTTCGCATCGATTTTTGATGTGGGATGGTGCAGTCGTCAACCACATGCGACTATAATCAGCTGTTCTAAACTTCCTCATTGGAAGTCACGAAAAAGCGGTGGGTTTTTCGAAAAGTTGTTGATCGTGTAATTACCAAAGAGTCTTTCGTCTTTGTGTAAGTGTTATTGAAGCAACTGCCACGACCGACTTTCTATTAACCTCGGCATTGATCAAGTGGTTTTGTTTTTACTTGATCAAGTTTTTACTTAGTGGAGACCTCATAGAAAGCGGCTCTGAAGAAGGCGAAATTCGCCGAAACGTCAGCTTAGTCGTGAACAAAGAACAATAACACCTCGCGTTTGCTCAAAAATACGAACAAAACCACTTGTTATTGAAGCGTTTGGCCTAGTAGACTGTATATCAGCATGCCCTTCCAGGCTCTGAAGAAGGCGATACTGCCGAAACGTCAGCTAGTGTTGGATTGTATTGTGTTTTTATGGAAGTAAATGAATGCTGTTTAAAAACCTCGCGATTGCTGAACAAGAAAACGACACATTCATATTCCAATGCCGAGGTTAAGAGAAAGTCGATCCTGGGAACTATTACAAGATGGAAATTAGCATTACAACTATTATTTCGTTGCCAGTAATTGGTGCAACTGCCATTGATTTGTCACCAAATTCGGAGAGTTTTGATAGGAGCAAACTATTACAATAAAATATAGCTGATTCTGTGGAAAACAAGTGGCTTCGAGCATTTCTTAGTATACACCCTTCATGATATGTACGCTTGAGAGTTTCAACCTAACTTTGACAGGTTTTTTCGCAAAGTTTTTCAAACTAGTTCGATTTTAATTTCTCTTCAAGACAATGGGAAACATTGCGTCGTTGGATATTGGCTGATGAGTTTCGAAACACGTCTAAAACTCGCAATTCTTGACAAGTATTTGACGGTCATCAACTGATGCCGTACAGAAGCGGCAGTCTTTTTTCCAGCCCTGCGAAACTACTGCGGTAGATTTAAAGTGTAGCAAACTGACATAAATACTGCTGAAGCTGGTCAGTTAGTCAGATTCTGCTGCATACGGTCCTCGACGGCCGCCTTTCCAAACAGTTCACGTGCTGTGAGGAAACAGCAAAATGAGATGAGACGGAAGAGCACTCACCGTGCTCGTTGGCACGATTTCAAAGGTTTTCCACCTTTTTGGGATTTTAATCACCAAGGAAAAATGACATTGAAGCAGCCAGTTAAGTTAAAAAATGTTTCATGGAGCAAATAGCGCGGTGGTAGCGATGCTGATCATCACGTGTACAGCGCTAGTTCGATCCCACTACGGGCTCACGAAGCCTATCATCCCTCCGGGGTCACGAAATTGGTACTGGACTTTCCTGGGAAAATTCACTCTCTGCAATCCAAGTGGGAACGCTGTAGCCCGGGTATCTCAGGACTCCAGGGGAATCTGCTTGGCTAGCATTCTAAGACGTTCAAGATGAAATGAAAATCCTCAAGCAACGACCGAAGCCATATGTAGGAGTTGGAAGATCTTAATAGATAATCGATGCCAGGAAACGAATGGAATTTGAGAGGTGCTGGTATCAGCAGAGTGAATTTTAAACGCTATTCTCATAAAATTAAAAGAAAAGCATGTTTGAGAAAGTTCGACTATGGCCAGAGTAAAGTTCAGCTACGAGCTTGCCAAGACTTTTCTAATTTCGGCACCAAATGTACAGCTTCACTCTCTGTTTGGTTTTCAACGCCATTTTTTTTCGATACCAATTGCTTTTCATTTTTAGAATGGATTTTATACCGCTCTTCCTCATGTATGCAACTTGGTTTCGAAGCTTCTTTGGGGATTTTTGATGGACAAATTGAAGAGTAGAAGGACGCTCACTGCAACACAAGCTGTCAAACTTTCTCAAGTGCTGTGTAAGTTTTCACTACTGGTAAAAAATTGTTGAACAGGAAAGGTAGGGTTAAACTAAATAAGTTTAGGCTGTAGCAAATATTTTTTTGGCTAGGAGTCTTTAGTGGCAGTTCAGACTACTAGTGAACGCGCCTAAGTGAGACTTCAGTGCGTTGATCTTCTCGAAATACTCTGGAAAATCGTTCATAAAATGTCGTTTACTTGACTGCCACTGATAATCACAATTCAAGCTTTTTAATGCTTCACATGTCATGGTTGTTATCGCTATGAGCTTCCGATTCATTAAACGTTTCAACTTTAATGGTTTTTCTAGCAATGCTGACCATGTCGGTGTGCTTCTTGATGTTGGCGTACGGCGTCGACTGTACGTCTCGTGGCCTAGCTTTGTTGTTGATGTGCTGCATCGGTGGCGCTTTCGGTCTCTCCATTAGCGGATTTCTTACCAGTCTATTGTCGTTAGCACCGAATTTCATCGGCATTATCACTAGCGTATCTCAAATAATCGGTTCGTTCTCAATTCTTGACACATTCAACTTATTTTTGCTATTCATTCCATTTCGTCGATAAGCCCATCTTTCCTCAGGTTTCGGTGGTCGGATGGCAACTCCTCAAATCATCACTCATTTTAAAACAGTCGTAGGTCATATAGCTTCTATGTATAATGTGGCTGCTATTAGGCTTTTTTGTTAACTTCAATGGTTTTTCTTGTTTTCCTTAGATCAGCCTATCAATTTTTTTCAATCTTTGCTTTTTCATATTTTCCAAATTTCATTAACTCATTGGTGATGAGATGACTCGTGTAGGCATCACTCCTTGCCACGGGAACTGACCGAGACGAGTCACATATGACTCATCATTCTTTCGGCCGTTTATTGGCCCACAAAGTTTTGCTTCACATTTTGTAATCACTGGATAGCTTACGCAACACAAATATGAAAGGCACTGACTTAGTAGTGCTGTAAGTCGCACTTATAAGTATAAAAGTACCTGGCTTTTTGGAACGATTTCGTTAGCTAGGAACCTAAGGAGCACTTTGACTTGACTGTTATTTTATTTCCAATCATTATGATAAATCGCAGTTATTATATGAAATAAGAAGCTGTGAAAAATGTAGAAGGATACTTAACAGTAGCTACAAATCACTTCCAAATGCTTCCAGTAATTTGTCTGTATAGTAACCATAGTAACATATGGTGAATACAACGCGTGCCCTTGAACCACAGCAAAGTCTCCTATACAACTTTGGTATAACCTCAACTTTTCAACTTCCTAGTTATCAAAAATCATATTCTTTTTTTGAGAAATTTGCAAGTCCGTGACGGCATTGAATTAGGCCTGGTCCCGTGTGCAAAACCTAGAAAACTAGGTTACAACACCAATGGGTTAACGCATTCAATTTTTTAAGCATTTTTATGTTAACCAGTGTTTCCACGCTTCTTTTGCGGATTTTTAGGGTACAGTTGAAGAATGGCGTGCAATTCTGCTGGTGTACTCTGTCATGACTCTTTTGTCGGCTGCTCTATTCCTCATTTGGGGTTCAGGTGAATGGAAGAACCACTTAACGTTCTGAAAATTTCTTTTTCTGATATTGTCTACCGCTTGTTATTTATCAGCTTTTTTGTAGGAGAAGTGCAACCATGGAATTCACACAAAGGCAAGGAAATAAAGCTTGTTGACTTACGGAGAGAAAGCAAAACCCTAGTTGATCGAGAGGTGCAGGCTCAAACTGAGCGATGAGAACTGGCAACAATTTTTATTTTGTTGATGACTTTAGAAAACGAAATAAATGCTTTACCACGGTAGCTGCTTTCTTTCCCTATTTATCAAACTGTTTGAATTTTGGAGTTTTATCTCACAAGAGCACTGGTAAGAGGTGACTGGTGATAAACATGCGGACCTTAATTCGTTCCAGCTCTACGAGCTTGCTAAGTCTTTTAACATTACCTGGTTGGGAAATTGCCATTAGACTTGTATAAAAATCAAAACGCTGACCTAATACCTTCGACGGCCTACACGTCTCGAGCAAATATGCAAGTGCTAATTAGGTACAGTTGGGAGTGGGTGACACAGTAAATCTCCACTGTTGATGATACATGTGATTTCAGGTCAGGTAGTAATAAAAAATCCTCCTAAAAAATCCTCCTAGCAGTTTGCCGCTTTATCGTGGCTAGGAGATGTTTCTGGGTGTCGTGCTGCCATGTACAGCGGGGAGGTTCATTCCTCTGGTAGGGTCTGCCAAGCTCGGAAGGAATCCGGCGTTTCCATCAGGAAGCCGAGCTAAGAGTAAACCAATACCAGGTTCCGCCACCGTCCTGGTATCAAATTAGTCGCATGGTGGCAAATTTTCCTCTTTCCAGAAAGGCGGCTGCGACTGCTCGTGGTGGTGAAGACCTGGGGCAGACTTTGGCTAGGCTGGCCTCGGGATTCCAGGGAACCACAGTGCCTTGGCCAGCAAATCTCCGGAACAGTGGAGAATATGCTGGGGCCGCACAACCAGTGAGGACGGACCTTTCAAATATCAAGTAAGTAAGCAATAAAAAATTAGTAACATTTTCCTCCCATATTTCCAAAAAAGCCTTCACACCAACTGCATAATTTTTCCTTAGTTCTGTTTCTTTAGTTTCTTGAGTTATTGAGTGAACCGGCCATTCTCCATTGGGTAATGCTCTCTATAGTCTCCACTGGGTAGGGAGCCGAAATGCACCATATTTTCCAATCAGAGTCATTATAATGAACTCTGTTCATGCTGTTAAAGGCCTTCCTATTGTGAGATAAATATGCATTAAAATCTATTCACTGATAGGTAATGTCCTGTAGGCGTCATTAACTCATTTTCTGGGATTTTCATTAAAGTACATTCAGTAGGTGCCCGACTGACTCTCAGAAATCTTGACATGTGCGACACAGATCATGTTTTTTGATCTTTCTTGTATCTCCCATCTGACTCCCTCACACCCTTGCGTGAAATGAGCTACGCGTAATTTTGGCAAGCCCTATTAAATGAGTGTTCCTATCTATTTCTACGGTTTTTTGTGAAGCAGCTTCTATAGACACAATGTGGAAGCTGTTACATGGGTAACAGATGTTCTCCCTGGAAACATTCTCACTAGTTCAATTCTCAATTGAAGGTAGTATTCGTTGGAAATATTCCCCAAGCGTTTAGCACATACTCGTAATTTGGTCGTACATTTTTGTCGTATTCGAAAGCACACGATATCCTGCATACAGGAAGAATCGAATCAGTCAGTATTCAAGATATTCGACGACAATCGTGACAGAAACAAAAGATCCTCAAGCAAGAGTCGAGCTCAGATGCAAAAAAGTTCGAAGCCCTTTGTGGATGGTCGATGTATGGAAACGAAGCGAATTCATTAAATACTGGAATCCGCGCAGTAAAATGGAGGACACGCTATGTTAATGAGATAATAAATAAATATTTTAACCTTTTTGTTTACTGCCTATTCCTTTTAACGGCAGGGTATGTTGCGAAATATAACTTCTATAATGCCGAGATATTTGAAAACTCCGGACCGCAAGTGTCTGCGGTGGGGAACGAACGCACTAGTGTCCTTTCCGGGGAGTAACGCGCTCACCACCACGCTATGAGGATCCTTCGTTTCACCTGTCTCTCAGCTAGTTCTATCGATTATAGAAATTATATTTCTCAACATACCCTGCCGTTAGAAAGAATAGGCAGCAAATAAAAAGGTTATGAATGTGATTATAACTATAGCCTCAGGTTAATTGGGTTCAATGCCGATTTGGGCTTTCCGAATCAATCCCGTTGACGGGTGATTGCTGATGGCAAAGGATCGATAGAACTAGCTGAGAGACAGGCGAAACGAAGGACCCGCATAGTGTGGTGGTGAACGCTTTACTCCTCGGGAAGGACACTAGCGCGTTCGTTCCCCACCGCAGACACTTTCGGTCCGGAGGTTTGCAAATACCACAGCATTATAGAAATAAATAAATATTCCCTTAAGAAAAGCATGAAACTGCACACCTCAACTGGAAAAGGGTTACATCACCCTGAGAGCAATTCACATTCACTAAGTGGTTCTCGTAAATCTGTGCGCTACGATGATCCGCAAACGTTTCGGAGTTAGCCTTAATAGCCATTGACGGCTCGTGTTTAATGTAGTACAAACAAAAGTGTTATGATATTAACTGATGCATGGCCCATGTAGGAAGAAAAATAAATTGTTGAATAAAAAACATCCGCTCGTCTTTATAATTGCCATTATTTTCGAGTTAGCGCCGTTGATGGTAGAGTTGATGTCCTCCCAGTTTTCTTCTGTCAAAACAGTACTAGAGCTTGCTTCTATTACGCGAAAACAATACTGCCGAACAAAGCACCTAAGAATGAGAAAAAAATAATGTCAGTTCACATAAACTTCACATAAGTTATCTCCGTCATTTATTCTGGCAGTTCTTCGTTCGTCTCATTGTTGGCTGTAAGGATTCACTTCGGTCGTGTCCTTCTTGAACAGCCGATAGAACTGCTCATGCAGGGTACCTGAAACTACAACAATTTTGCTCTTTTATCTTCTATAGCCAAATTTGTAATGAAGAGCGATGAAATGCCAAGAAGAATAAATAGAACCTGGGAAACGAATACATTATTCTATTAACATTAAGCCTTTAAGTGAGAAAATGAGTAAATGCAAAGCGCAAGGCCTCCATCCACTAATTAAACAGGAACCATAATGATGACAAATTGGACACTGTTGGTAAGACCTGAGATAGAACTTAGAAATCTCAAGCTGCAGAGAACTCATTCAAATTAGTTTTTTGCCGTTTCTCCTTTGTTTGCTTTTTTGCACCATTCGCTGGAGTTTTGTTGAAAACACTTGTTGAATTCTGAACTTCGCAGAGTTCTAGTGAAGGAAACGAAACATTGAGAAGACGAATATGCAAGGTGGTAGTGCGTTTCCAATGAAAGTACGTTTCTTTTATGCTTCCTAATGGATAGAAAATATTGCATTCCACTGATTTCTTCCTTTGAGTACCCCTATCTGTGCCGCTGTGCCAACAAGCGTGACAAAAAGATCTAGCGTTCGGCATTGACTATTCTTTGAAGACTGTGCCATGGATTCGACTTCATCAAGCATCGTTGGAGGTGGTCAAATGCATATCTGGCCTATGCAATGACTTCTAGTGGTCCACCGATGTGTCGAATCAGTGCTGCTATCGTCCCAGACAAGTTTCGCGCCAATTTGCCATCTTTAGAAAGGTGGGCTTGGCGAACACGGGAGCTGGATTGAATCAACGACCACGTTTGTATAACAGAGTATCTCTAACAACGTTAACCTAACAATCTAACGTCACACGCGCCTAATCACTACGCCATAGTTTTTGTTTTCTTTTAAAGGACGCATTTAAGAAGTATGGATGATAAGAAATTCTAATTTCTTTAAACATTTCCCAAAAATGTCATTTCAGCATGTGTAATATCTCGAATATCCTTAGGTTACTTAATAACCAGGTGGAATAAAGGTGCACGGACCTGCTCCTAAATGTTGCCATGCGTTTCTTAGCCGGTTTCTCCATGACTGTGCATCTCGATTAGGTCTATCTAACGAAGCTTTGAGTGTGGAGAAGGTCTCATTGATTACGGCCATTACGTCAGTATTCAGCTGAAATGGAGAACATCTACTGTTCTTGATCTGCTCCATATGACTGCTGGTTTGGTCTCTAGATGTTATCACCAGTTCAAATGGCTAAGACTAGTGTACAATGAAGATCGTTGACAGGTCTATAAATATGAAACTACGATGGCTTAACATTTCCAATAATTCAAGAAGGTCTTGAAGTCTTTAGGTCAAAGGAATGAAGAGAGGCGCTGGCTACAAATCAAATAGTAATATTTGCACTTCCTCTTTATGTTATGCTGAAACGTTGTTATAATACGGACATGCTCCCAAAAAAGTATACGCATAGAATGAAATAGTTTCTGTCAGCTTTGCTTAAGGTATTTCAACATTATTTTATATCGTAGCCAAGTTCTTACGCAGTACATAGAAGCGGCTTCACAACGCAAACCCTTTCAAACACAAAAGAAACAGCACTGCATCTAAAACACACATGAAGAAAATGAGATGTCTAGATGGGGGCAGAAGGTTGTTTTAAGTAGGTCGGGTGCCCTTAATGATCTGTTACCATAGTACAGTAAACTAGTACTATAAAACAATGGCAGTCTGAATTTTAAGTCCACCCCATTGGATACAATCTGCATGTCAAGTGCGCTCACCGAAAAGCAATCCCAGAAAAATTTCTTCACATTAGCAGAAGTAGGCGTAGTCGATACTATGGTGGAAGTCTTCCAACACGTTTTCCGCTTGGCTATCGTGGAATCGACTTTTCTGAAGAGGCTGCAGTTATTCAAAGTGTTAGCTGGCATAAACTATCTAGCACTCCTGGTAACAGTAATGAGCTTCTTCTTTTCTAAAGTGGTTGAATGGCTAACCCCAATTGTGGTAGATGGATGTACTGCTTCACACAGAAACACGGTTTATGGCAAAGAGTTACCATTTGAACTATCACTGGTAGGTAAAAAATCTTTTCAGAATCACATTATCGATAGAGGAGCAGCTCATTACCACTACCAGGTAGCAAACGTCAGCAAAGAAACCTTGATTGTCCTGAAGTGATGTTGCTGGTTATGGTGTGGCCTGCAGACGTGGGCATCTCTCCCTTCTCTGTGACCTTCTCCTTCTGCCGCAAAATTTTTGACTTCA